GCGGCACACTCGGGTCTCGAACTGCTGAACTGCCGACCTTCCACAGCCTGCAGTTCAGCGTCTTAACCACTTGAGCCACCGCAGCTCTGTGTGTCTATTAAGGTTCAAAATCTGGTTCGAGGACAGCTAAGGATGCATATTGTCGAGAACATCCTCCTGCACAGATGCACAAGAGCACTTGGCGTTTCAAGATGCCCCGTTTATCGCAGAGAGGCCCACACAAGGCCTGTCCTGTTGGACAATCAAGACTTCAAATTTCCTCCTTGGAGACTCTGCAACCAATGTGGCGCACGGCACAGTGGAGAATATCCCAGGAGAGAGCAGCATTCAAGGCTCCAGAACAGCCCATTTGGATTGGGCACACCCCAGATTCATACCCATTCATAGACTGGCAGGGAGGCCAGCAGGGGGAAAGGCAAAAGAGTGCACTTTTTCGGACTGCGGGGGCCAGATAATGCAGGATACCTAGCAGCCTGAACTCCAGATGTGACCTAACGGGGAAAACAGCAACACAGCAAGCACAAAAAAACCACAACCCACAAACCCGAGTGTTTTGTGGAGTTGAGAATTAAGTCAGAAAAGTTTCTAAAGCTGACGGTTAAGCCCTGAGAACAGATTTTGCTCTTCTTTTTCCTTCATAAAGAAACTATGCATACAACTAGTTAAGACTTAATTGCACTTTAGCTTCCTTCCAAATGCTCGAAGGAAAAAGGCTGAGTTTATTAAGACACTGCAGATATTTGTCCACAAAACAGACCCGTTATTTCAATAGTATTTCACTCCTTGCCTTCACAGACTGGAAAGGATATTAAGGCCAAAGTGGATCAGTTTATAATTAGGAAATAATATTATGAAATAATTTTTAAAAACTCAGCTGGAGAGTGCTAGAACCAGTACAGAAGACGATTTCCATTGCTAATTAATTTAAGACATGCATAGAGGACAACAGCTCAAGATCCAAGTTTTCACCCTGTCTGACCCTCTCATGGGCTTGACGTGCACCACTGGTTAAGCGCAGGGCTGTGTACATTCGACATTTTCCCAACTGCAACTGCACAACAGAACTCAAGAAACTGGACTGGGTACAGAATTCAGCCTCCTTCCAACCTTAACTTTCCATTTATAATGCAGCGGATTTCTAGTCCTTAAGGATGCCTTGAAGTGTGAGGTTCATGTCTGATCAGATCTCCGAAGCTGCGTTATGTCCTTCAACTCATGCGGAGCAGGATTTCCAGTGATACAGAAGTAAAGGTGCAATGCGCTAAGAAGCTCTTTCCTCCTCTCACGGCCAGCAGAATGAATTGAGCAGCATATTACAGCCACAGGCTGTAGAATCAAACTCTTCTTAATGGAGAATTACATTTTTAGCAGTGAGTATACGCAGCGCTCGTCCAGCTCGTCCAAGGTCATCTGCCAGCTGTGTTCCCTCTAAGCTGAGTTAGTGTGAGCTAGCTCACAGTTTTTTAGCCCCCAGCTCACACCTTTTTGCCTTTGCTCAGGAAGGAGGGCTCCAGAGCAAACTAATCCATGCAGGAGCCCAATCGCTCGCTCACAACTTTCATGCCAGTAGCTCACAAAGTAGAGTTTTTGCTCACAAGACCTCACACCTTACAGGGAACATTATCTGCCAGTCCAGCGTATGCAGCTGGAATAGAGCTGCCCTGAAATGGGGAAGGCTCGCATCTCCTGACGCCCCTCCCCTCCCCTCCCCACCACTCCACCTTCAACATTCCTTGAAAAGCTTTAGTAGGGATAATTAGCATCGGAACCAGCCTTGGAACATACTACATTGGATGTCACAGCAATACAGATCATTCACATTTACCTCCTAAGGAAAACAAATTCTCCTGGCACATGGTGGCGTCTTTGAAAGGTTAGAACCCAGAAGGGGCTCTCCTCCCAAAGTGAAGAGACTGCGTACCTGAAATCTGGCCAGAGCAGGTGGTTAGCTCGCTCGGCCTTGTTTGTGTCTGTGTGTGAGAGAGAAAGATGCAAGAGAAGTCTTTCAGGGCCACATAGCGAGGGATTGTTGGCCAAGAACACTCTGCATTATACAAATGACTCTTTCACGCCACGCTTGGTGGCCTTCTGCTTTTTGGTTTCACTGGGGTCCCCCTCCCCCTCTTTTGTTTTGCTGGGATCCTCGTCTCCTTTCCCTTTCCCTGGATCATCCTTCTTCTCACTGGTGGGGTCAGTCTTTGGATCAGCGACTAACTCGAGGCTGAGAGGCGGGGCCGTTTCCGAGGACTCTTCAGTTTCTGCCTGCGCTGCCGAAGACCCGAACATTAAATTCATTTTCTCCGCAATCAGCCCTTCTTTCTCTGGGGCGCCTTCTACCAACGAGCTCTCCTCTTGGCTGTGCCGATACATATAAGAGGCCTGCTTCATCGACCGCCTTAGCAGATATCGTCGGAAGGCCCGCTGGATTTTGCCGGCACACACTTCCTCGTGCTTCCTTTTCAGAGTGGTCGTGATGGGTTCGTAAGACACTTTGGAAGGATTCGCGGCCATAAATTTCTCCTCCATGGATTGCTTCAGGGCATCCATTTCTCCAGAGTCGCCCAATACTTCTTTAGTCAGAGCAAAGAGGATGTCCAGACAATGGATCTTATCCCCAGGGACCATGGGCAAGTCCAGGGTGACCAATTTGATCCTGTTGGGTTTAGCAATCCGCAGCGGATCTTGCAAGGTGTCGACGAATTCAGAGAGAATGCTATACTCAATGAACTGCGTGGCGTCTGGGTCAAACTTCTCCCACGTCTCGTAGAACATTTCGAAGTCATCTTCACACAGCGGCTCGCTGCTCTCTTCGGTGGCCACGTTGAAGTTCTCCAGGATAATGGCGATGTACATGTTCACCACCACCAAGAAGGAGATGATGATGTAGCTGCAGAAGAAGCAGATGCCGACGGCCGGGTTGCCACAGTCGCCCTTGACGGAAGAGCCGGGGTTTTCCAGAGTCGGGTCGCAATCCGGGGGCCCGCTGTTCAGGATGGGGTTCAGTAAGCCATCCCACCCGGCTGAGGTGGTGATCTGGAAAAGGCAGATGATGCTGTTGCCAAAAGTCTCGAAGTTGAAGATGTCATCGACGCCGGATTCCTTCTTCACGTAGGCAAAATTGGACATCCCGAAAATGGAATAGATGAACATGACCAGGAAGAGGAGCAGGCCGATGTTAAAGAGGGCCGGCAGGGACATCATCAAGGCGAAGAGGAGGGTGCGGATGCCCTTGGCTCCCCGGATCAGCCGGAGGACACGCCCGATTCTGGCCAAGCGAATGACCCGGAAGAGTGTGGGGGACACAAAGTATTTCTCGATGAGGTCCGAGAGCACAAGTCCTGAAAGGCAAGGAGAAAGGAGTTAATACTTCAGGGAGAAAACAGAGGCAAAAAAGTCATTAAGCCTGTCTGCTTTTTCTCTGTCCTCCACCAGAGTTTCTCCTACTCCCAAAAGCGGTCCAATCGCCTCTTTTACCCTTGTGTTTCCTTCTCACATATCTGTAGAAGTTTTTCTTATTGTAGCGAGCCACCCTTGCCAGACCCAACACGTACTGAGCTTTGGTTTCTCTGATGGCTGATCTGCAGTGCCTAGTAACTCATATACTCCTCTTTAGAGGTCTGAACTTCCCTCCATTTCCCTCCATTTCCTTTTTCTCTCTTAGCTTATTCTGGAGCTCTCAGTTCATCCACATCAGTTTCTTGGAGCCTTTACCATGTTTCTGTCTTGCTGGAATAGCGAGGGCTTGAGTTCGCAAAAGCTCATGTTTGAGAAGAAGAAGAAGAGAAGAGATTGGATTTATACCCCGCCTGTCACTACCCAAAGGTGTCTCAGAGCGGCTTACAAACCCCTTTCCCTTCCCCTCCCCACAACAGACACCCTGTGAGGTAGGTGGGGCTGAGAGAGCTCTTGACAGAAACTGCTCTTTTTCAAGGACAGCTCTTATCAGAACTACGGCTTGCCCAAGGTCGTCTAGCCAGGTGCAAGTGGAGGAGTGGGGAATCAAACCCGGTTCTCCCAGATTAGAGTCCGCGCACTTAACCACTACACCAAACTGACCAAACTGAAGAGCCCACCCTTCACTCGCTCCTTTCCCTTCCAGCACACTCCTCCATGGAATGATTCCCATCAAACCTCTGAGTTCATTGAAGTCGGACTTATGAAAGTCTAACCTACAAGTCTGGCTACGAACTTCCTTGACCCCCCACCGCAACTGGAATTCAAGGAGGACATGGTCAATAACCCCTAAGGTCCCCATCACCTTCACCCCATCTACCAATTCTTCCCTGTTGGTTAGTACTGTCTAGTATGGCAGAGCCCCTTGTAGCTTCCTCCACCATTTGAAAAAGGAAGTTGTCAGCCAGACAGGTCAGGAAGTTGCGTGATTCTTGTCGCTTTGATGAGCCTGTCTCCCAGCACACATCGGGGAAGTTGAAGTCGCCCATAATTATAAGGTTCTCCTATCTGGATACTCTACCAATCTGTTCAGGGAGGGCAGCATCCATTTCCTGTCCCTGGTCCAGTGGTCTGTAGCAGATTCCAACAACAATACACTTTGTCCTACCTCCCCTTATTCCCACCCATATACTGTCCACAGGGCTGTCGATCACATTCTCCAGAACTTCCTGACAATCTAGCCCTCTCTTCACCTACAGCGCCACTCCACCTCCTCTTCTACCCTTCGGTTTTTTTCTCCTACCGATTCACCACCACATTCCAGTCATGAGAATCATCCCGCCAAGTCTCAACGATTCCTATTATATCGTAGCCCTCTGTTTGCAAGAGAATCTCCAGCTCTTCCTTCTTATTACCCATACTACAGGCTTTGGTATATGGGCACTTGTAGCCTTGTACCTTTGTTTGACCTGTCCTACCCAGGTGGGTCCCCACTGCTTTCACTTCTTCATTGAAGTCCCCATGTTGATTGTCCCCTTCCCCTTGTGGCTTCAGTTTAAAGCTCTCCTGATTAAGTTCTCCAGGTCCTTTCCGAACGTGTTCTTCCCTGACCTTGAGAGGTGAGATACATCCTTCCACATCCCTTCCCATAAAACTTATACACAGGGTTAGCTATATCCCAACACCTTTCCTCATCCAACCAGGTTTTTGAAATGTCCCCTGTATCTATGGTCTAATTTTACACCAAGTACTCTCATCTCCCTAACCTGACTGCAGGGATGGATGGATGGAGGCTGAATGTGCATGGGAGGGGGAGGGGCCCAATGTGCTTGGAGATGAGCAGGGCAGGCCCAGCACACTCGCCTTCACACCTCCTCTCTGCAGGGGTCATTTCCTGCAGGAGTGCACAGGAGCGGAGCTCCGGCAGTAAAGAGCCCGGGGGGCGGGCACATGCAACAAGCCCCACCCCCACAACCCTCAGTCAGAGCAAGAAGTAGCCAGGTAAGCTGCAGAGCACCCCCCCGCCCCCCCCAGTCCAAAACAGTCCAGTGGCACCTTTAAGACCAAGTTTTATTCAGGTACAAGCTCTCCCTCCTCCGCGAGGGCAGATCTGCATGTCCCCCCCAAACAGCTAGCAATCCAAAACAGTCCAGTGGAGCCTAAGCGGTGGGTGTTGCCTTCTGACACACTTCCGGTTATGTCAAGGGGTGTGGCATATGCAAATGAGTTATGTTAATGAGTTATGCTAATGAGCTCCTGCACCTCTTTTTCTACGAAACGACCCCTGCCTCTCTGTATTGTCCTTGTACACAGATATGTCATGTTCCCCATGAGGGCGCATACGGTTAGATGTTAGAAACATCCTTTCCTTCTCTCCCCGCCCCCCGTCTAGTCACAGCTGACTTATGGCACCCCCTGGTGGGGTTTTCAAGGCGAGAGACATTTCAGACGTGGTTTGCCACTGCCCGCCTCTGCTTCACAGCCCTGGTATTCCTTGGTGGTCCCCCTTTCAAGCACTGACCAGGGCCGACCCTGCTTAGCTTCCGAGATCTGATGAGACACAGCTTGCTCGGGCTCTCCGGGTCCGGGCTAGAAACATAACCTCGTATTTTCCCCCCTCACCTCCAATGGAGAGAATGACCACCACAAAATCAAAGACGTTCCAGCCGACAGTGAAGAAGTAGTACCGCAGGGCGATCATCTTGAGGAAGCACTCGGAGGTGAAGATCACGATGAAAATCAGGTTGATTTGGAATAAGATGTCTATCTTTGTTTGGCTCTGGTCATCTGTTTCCACCATCATTGTCACCATGTTAAGACAAATGAGGATCATGATGACTATATCAAAGGCTTGCTTGGTCACTAAGTCATAGATCATCCCTTGCAATTTGTTCTTTAATAACGCGGAAGGTAAATGTGGGCGTGTGAGAGAAAAGACAAGAAGGGCACAGGACACACGGACAGAGACGAACGAGGGAAGAACAGAGAAGGGGGGAGAAAAGGAGAAAAACCCATAAACAACCCATGTTTGAAAAGCTGGAAAAGGAGGTCCTATAGCAGAAAAGCCTCCCAGAACTGAAACAGAGTATGACCAGGGGTCATTTCCTGCAGGAGCGGAGCTCCGGCAGTAAAGAGCCCAGGGGGCAGGCACATGCAACAAGCCCCACCCCCTGCTCCCAGCAGCCCTGGGCCACAAGGGGCAAGAAGCAGCCCTCCTTATTTCCGTCTCTTTCTTTCCCTCCTTCTTTCCTTCTCTTTCTTTCTCTCCTTCCTGCACAGATCTGTGTATTCCCTCCCCCCAGCTAGCAATCCAAAAGAGTCCAGTGGCACCTATAAGGCCGAGGTTTATTCAGGTACAAGCTCTCCCTCCTCTGTGAGGGCAGATCTGCATGTTCCCCCACCCCCCCATAGCTAGCAATCCAAAAGAGTCCAGTGGCACCTTTAAGGCCGAGGTTTATTCAGGTAAAAGCTCTCCCTCCTCTGTGAGGGCAGATCTGCATGTCCCCC